GGGGGCCCGCCCCGCCGCCCCGGCCTCCCCCGCTGCCGCTCCCTCCGGCGGCCGCCGCCCCGCGGTGCCGGCCGGCGAGCGGAGAGAAGCAATGAGTCACGGCCGCTTGCCTTCCCCATGGCGGCCGCCCTCCGCGCCGCGGGTCAGCCGGGGGTGTCGCGGCCGCCCCTGAGGGCACAGGGCCGAGGAGGACTCGCACGCCACCCAGCCGTGACGGCGCGGCTGTGCTCGACTTCCACCATCTCCCTCGGCTGGATGGCGGATCCCGTCCTGTGTGCTGAGGCCCAGTCTGCTTCGGGTTCGAACTTGAGTGTAACGGTCTCCTCCTGTGCGGCTGGTGGGCCCGAAAGCTGAGGCTTCGGTCACAGGCCGCTCTGGAGAAGGGTTTATGCCTTACCAGTGGCTCTTCAGGTAGAGCCAGCTGTCTCTGCGTGACAGAGGGGAAGTTCTGCCTCTTCATTGAACTGCTCTCTAGTCTTGTAGTGCAGTTTTATTGAAGGCTGCGTGGTCCAGCAATCGAGCAGAACTGAAGAGGGTTAAGTGCAAGCATCCTTGGGCCTAGCGTGGCTATAGCTGAAGTGGCTTGACATGTAATAACTTGCACTTACCATGCTGGTCTTCCCCAAACAGTAGGAAGGGTTCCCAACTGGCAAGAGCTATTCCTTCCACTGAAAGATGAGACACCAGCGAGCAGGTTGTGATGGGGACATTAGTAGTAGCGATAGCAGTTCACTCATAACTGATTAGATGAGCCAAGGTCCTTGAATTTGCAGCTCTAGTTTAGAATTTGAATCCAAATTCACAACTCTATGGCTGGGAAATGAAAATTAGAGACGTTCACAGTCCCAAATGGTGTGAAGGAGTTGCTTCTTTTCTTACACTGTTGTGTAATGATGGAGAAAATTCTGCACACTGATATGTGCTGTATTGCTTTATTGCATGTTTTCTGTTTAGTAAGACAGGTGAAGCTGCTGCCTGATGATTTTGTCTCCATTTTTCCTGCTGTTGCTGTCCAAATGCTATGCAGTTGCTTTCAGTTAGAAGGCAATTTAACAAAAAGTATAACAGCTTTTTTTTTTAATCTCCCAAAGTAGACTATAAACTAGTGTTTCAGGTTATTGCTTCATAGGTGGATCGGATATCCCTCCCTCTAGTACAGGAATATACATTAGAGGCAAGTCAGGAAAGGAAGCAGTAATGTAATTTGTAGCTGTGTGTCTGCTAAAGTTCTGTATCTTCAACCTTTTGCCTGTTCAGATTTAAGCTGTTAGGAAAAAAACACAATCTTTCTATTTGTATGTGGATTTTCATGCAGCAGAGCTATCCACATAACCAAGCCACAAAAAATCCCTCAACCTTTTCCTTCCAAAAAAGTGCACAGTGGTATAGTTTTTCACAGATCAGAATGACAGGCTCAGGAATTATTAATTAGATAATTATCATTATCTAATGAGTGGAGGTAACAATGTCTGGAGGTCTGTAAGCATAGAGTGATAAAGGCAGCATCTAGTCTGAGCTTTGTCACTGTGACAATATATAGTAAGCCTAGATCATTCTCAAAAGACTAAGTGGCTTCTAAGAAGCAGTGAAGAAAAATGACTGTTTGTCCTATAAAAATTGTACTGGTGTCTCACTCCTGAGAGTGTGACACATACTCCTGTCTCCTCCTTCATTGCAAGTTAAGCTGATTTCTTGTTTTCTTCTTTCCTTCCTCTCCCCCATTTCTGCCTGAAAAGGTGAACAAATTATGACACTACTTGTTATGTGTTAAGGTTTCTTATGTTCCACGCTTTTTTTATTGGTCTTACCTTTCTAGACAAGGATGACAGGGGGTGTTGGTGGATGAGAAGTTTGACATGAGCTAGCAATGTGTGCTGGCAGCCCAGACCACCAACCGCATCCTGGGCCGCATCCAAAGCAGCGTGGCCAGCAGGGCGAGGGAGGGGGTTCTGCTCCGCTCTGGGGAGACCCCACCTGGAGCTCTGTGTCCGGCTCTGGAGTCCTCAGCGCAGGAAGGACATGGCCCTGTTGGAGCTGGTCCAGTGAAGGGCCACAAAGATGCTCCAAGGGCTGGAGCCCCTCTGCTGGGAGGACAGGCTGAGAGAGTTGGGGGGGTTCAGCCTGGAGAAGAGAAGGCTCCAGGGAGACCTTGGAGCCCCTTCCAGTCCCTCAAGGGGCTCCAGGAGAGATGGGGAGGGATCCTTGATCAGGGAATGGAGCGACAGAAGAGGGGTAATGGTTTTAAACTGAAAGAGGGTAGACTTAGAGTGGATCTTAAGAAGAGATTCTTCGCAGTGAGGGTGTTGTGACACTGATCCAGGTTGGCCAGAGAAGCTGTGGCTGCCCCATCCCTGGAGGGGTTCAAGGCCAGGCTGGATGGGGCTTTGAGCAACCTGGTCTGGTGGGCGGTGTCCCTGCCCAGGGTATGGACACGTGGAACTCGATGATCTTTAAGGTCCCTTCCACTCTAAACGTTTTATCATTCTGTGATCAAGGAGGGCAGGGGGAGAAGGGAATAGTTTTCCTCTTGGTCTGGAATTGGATCATAAGGTTATGTTATGTAGCATAATGGTAACAATAGTAACTTATTTTTGGTAGGATAAGGGCAGTTGTTCTTGGTCAAGTAGCTACGCTTTTTTTTCTAGTTCACCTTAAGCTGTTTCTGAAGACAGTGCGGTCAATTAGAAGAGAGATCTATAAGCTTGGAGCTGTTATTGGAGTGGAGAGCCATCCCAGGCATGCAAGCCTGGGCAGTTCACACCTTTTCAAAGAAAACTGGGAATTTTTTTTTGTTACTGTATTTCAGCTGATACCGCCTTTCCCAAAACATACTCTTCTCTTTGCATATAAAACATGTTAAAGTGGTGCAGATCCACTTAAGATTGTGCTACTGCGGGAATTGAGGTGATTCACCCCGGGTCACTGCTAGTCAGATGGTTAGAATAGTCAGCAGCACTGAGACCAGCCCAGAGTGCTCAAGTAGAATGGTGTGTGTGGTTGAAAAGTTCATTCACCATGACTGGGAGCGTATCTGACAAACTGGGCAATGGATTTCTGTAGACTATCAGATTTATGTGAAAAAGTTTCTCTCTAAAAAAACCCACAACCAAACAGTCAATCAACAGTGGTTCAACTTTGTTTTGTATTCAGGAATTCTACAGAAGGAAGTCCTGAGGTTTATGCTGTGCAGAGCTTATAAAATGAACCTTAAAGCCAAATAGCAAGGCTCTGACAAGTGTCCTCATGAGTGTTTTGAAACTGGCAAGTGGTAAGGGCAGGCCCTGGAAACTGCCTTTGTGCTTTCCTTGATGCCAGGAGGAGACGTTACAGTCTGATCCTTCGCAGGAGTAGGCACCCAAGCATAGCCTGGCAAGACACCGTAACAAGAAGTACAAGTCTTTTAGTACCCTATGGAGCAAGCACAATAATAGCCTCCTCTCTGTAGTGTTACCCTTATGGAAATGCTGTTAGAATCTTGACAAAGAGAAGCACCACTGACAAAGTTTCAACAGGGGTTTTTAAAGTGGGCTGAGGGAGACTCGTTAAATCCTGGATGAACATGCCTAACTTGTCCAAGAGCATGTTATTGGAGGCTCAGAGCCTGTAAAAGTTTTGCAACATGGGTCTGTGCAAGAATTGAGTAGGTGTTATTTGTATTAAAATCTGAAAACATAAAGAAGAGATAGGAAAGTAAAACCCAGCTGTAGGATTAAGCCTCTGTTCCTCTTCCTAATTACCCTAACCTTGAAAGAAGAGAGCATTAAGCTGTATTGTGTAGTGTGGTGGGGTTTGCTTGTGGCTTTTTGTTTTGCTTATTGATTTTTCTGGGGCTTTGGTCTAGAAGCTGTTCCAGTGCAGGCTGTGTTAACAGCAGGCTGTGGTATTTACTGTGGGCTGTGAGACTGCACTTGGAAGGGAAGGGAAGGCCCTGGTCAGTAGGGCCTGTTGCGGGGGGGTGGATCGGATTGTAGAGGAGCTCAAGAGGACCTAGAGCTGGTCTCTGGACCCTGGATGCTCATGCTAGGCTGGTAATTAAGGCAAGAGCCTAGTGTCCCCAGTTCAGGGCTTGTTTCAGGAATTCTTTTCATTTTAGAAATTCCTAGTTTTAGAAGAATAATTTTGGATAACAGGCTTATCGTGGGTGTGGAATTACACCTGAGAGAATTCAGCATGTGGCTTTATATTTAGCTGTCCTTTAGCTTTAAAAAAAAAGTCTGTTTATGTCCTACAAATCTGCTATTAAAATCTTGTGATTTGCATTAGCATCTTAAATGGAAAAGGCCTGCATCCCTAATAATTCTAGTGACCTTTTTCCCCATCTTCCTTCTGTGAACTCTTGTTGCCCCATAGTTCTCGTGGTACGAGTTCAGTGGAAGAGGATCAGGGAGTCTGGTTGAAAAAAGATGTATCAGTAAACAAGGAGGAAGAGTTCTAGCCAAAGCAAGGGGAAAAGCTTTTTTTTATTTAGAATATTTTACGTGTGTAGAAGGCTTTGGGTTGCTAGATTTATGTGTTTAAGGTTTTAATTCTAACAAGGAAAGGTAGTCCAAGTAGTCAGGTAGAAAAGGTATTCAGGCTGTCCTGAGTGTTCTGGATTTATTTTTTTTTCATAAGAAACTTATGTGTGTTAAAACCCAAGTTGTTCTTTTTTTCCATCACTTAGGTGGTTCTGCCTACACAAGTTCTGGTATTTTCCC